CCCTATATTCTTGGACAAGTTGCTTGGCCTTCTTAAGCCCCTGCGTAAAATGGGGGGGAAAATGGGACAGTTCTGAAAAGTAAATGAGGTAATGCTCATTAAGCCATCAGCATCATGCTTTGCATACATGTGGCTCTTAATAAATGTGAGTTGTTAATTTTTTTTGGCTCTCTTCCACCTTTAGACCCACCCCCACAGTATGCCACTCAAGGCCTTGACCAGCTCCATATGTGAAAGAGGAATCTTACTGGACCAAGTCTCCCAAGTTCCAGATGTGAAGAGGCTTCCTCCTGAGAGAAGCAGAGATACTGAAAAGAGATTGGAATTTCTGACAACCGGGATCCCAGGAAAGGAAAGGGTGAGAGACCATGATTGTTGGTCAGATGGGATGTAGAGTTGAAGATGGAGAGTTATCAGCCAAAGAAACAGCAATGCTTTCATCAGGGGGAAAAATCTTTTCTTTTGCCCTCTACGTTCAGTATCTGGAAGCCTGTGAATTAAACTAACAAAAGGCAGATTAACAGGAGAAAAGACAAAATTTCTGTTAATATCTACCTGCATGGGAGTTTACAGAAAAGAAGTGAAACTCAAATAAGACCCAGAGTTAGATTAGGGGTCTTATGTGCCCTTCTAACAAAGTGAAGAGGGTTTGGGGCCAAAGGGCAATAAATTGTAGAGAAGTGAGTAGGAAATATATGGGGGAACTAATGGAAGAGAAGGGCTATTTTAGGAAGGTCTGCTTATACAAACTCATCTTGGTGTTGACTCCCCATCTTCAATTATGCCCTGCTTTCAGGCTGTTAAGGGGAGGGCACAAAACTCTTCCTGCATCTGTTGCTTTTCTACTGCCTTCAGCTCAAAGCAATCTTCATGCCGAAGTGCCATATTTTGGAATGGCATACTCTGATCCCCTTCACTTTGCCTTCCTCTTCAACTGCCAGAAACAAAAATCTAGCAAAGCCTCTTTCTGCAGCCATAAAGAACTGCTACTCAGATCTAGCTCCAAGCGTACTTCTCAGACCCAAACGACCACAGCAACTGGCCTGTGTTCCTACATTCCCATCCCTTCAGGGATGGGAAAGCTTCAGGGTATCCAAAAAGGAAGCTCAGAGAAGACACTCCAAGGCCAAGAAGGAAGCCACAAAAGAAGCAAAGCTGGGCTTTGGGTGATTAAGATCCACCCCAATTCCCTGACAAGAGTCTATGCCTTTGGGGGTTCTGCTGAACCACACTGTGTTCTCTGAGAAATGCCCTCCACTAATTGACCTGAGACCCTGTAATTACTTCAGTAGTATGTGGCTCTGTTTCCTTTACCAAGCTGGTAGGCCTGGGACTGTACCTTGATCCAGAAAGGCCAATCGAGAACCTGTGCACGGACAAAAAGATTTTCTGTGAATTTGGAACTAAGATGGGAGATCACTTAAGGTGAATTCGCTAGACTTGTAAGGTCATGCACAAGAAGCTGGCCTGCAGAGAGAATGAAGCAGATGGTTCAAGATGTCTAGGCCTTCAACAGAGGGCCAATCAAGACTGGTTCCTGACTCACCATTCTCAGTACAAGGCCTGGCTGAATTTCCTGGGATTTGAGTACATGACTTATGCCTTTTACTAGGTAATTCCAATGATTCTGTTAGCCAAAAGATCCCTGACTAAGACATTGACTTTCTTTGGGGTGCCTGGGTGGCTCAGTTGGTTAGGCGGCTGCCTTTTAGGTCAGGTCATAATCCTGGAAACCCAGGACTGCGTCCTGCATCAGGCTCTGGGCTCAGCGGAGAGTCTGCTTCTCCCTCTGACCTCTGCCCCCACACCCCCACCATGCTCTCTTTCTCACTCATTCTGTCTCTCAAATAAATAGATAAAATCTTAAAAAAAAATTGACTTTCTTTTTTTTTTTTAAAGATTTTATTTATTTATTTGACAGACAGAGATCACAAGTTGGCAGAGAAGCAGGCAGAGAGAGAGGAGGAAGCAGGCTCCCTGCTGAGCAGAGAGCCCGATGTGGGGCTCGATCACATGACCCTGGGATCATGACCTGAGCCGAAAGCAGAGGCTTTAACCCACTGAGCCACCCAGGCGCCCCAAAAATTGACTTTCTTTGACTCCATGTCTTCTTACCCAAGGTCCCTCAGACCAGAGATACAGACCCAGAGCTCTGGCTTCCCTTGGAGTTCAGAGTTTGAATAGTGAATGTCCCAGGGGCAGCCCCATCCAGAATTCAACCCACAATTGGAAGGAGACCCAGCACCATCACTCCCCTGCTCCAGAACACCTGGTACCCAGAGATGCCCTCCCAGAGGCAGTAACAGTAATACCTACTCATTACTGAATACTCATCCTCTATCAGATGCTGTACCAAGTATTATTTCCAGTCCTCAAAAGAACATGAATTGGTTTTTTAAATTGGTTTTAAGTATTTTTGCTATTATCTAACTTAAATATACATAGAGAACAAAATGAGCATAAATTTCTCATGCTTATAAGCTTTTCTAGAAATAGAAAGCCAAAAACTTGCCAACCAAAACCATTAAAATTGATATAAACAATTGAGGTCCAGCTGTTAGAGTCCTGGGCTGCCCCTTCACCACAGTGATAGCCCATCAATGGTCAGGGAAAGGTCTTGAAAAATACTCATAACCTGGTACAGAGCAAGGGCTTGCTAAAGGTTTGTTGAATGAATGAATGAATGAATAGGTGAGTATGAAGATAGTCGTTTAAAAGACAGTCTGCTCTACCCCCAGACTGTGGAGAAGCCTGTAATTCAGCACTCACTATTTACCACTGCAGCCCTTGGCCCTTCCCTCCTTGTTACCCAGGAGCGAATCTAATGGCATTCACCATTCCACTCAGCCAGCATACCATTAAAAGCTTTTGTCCAGCCACTGTGCCCCCACCCCAGGTCTTGGCTCTGGGCCCTGGGCTCGGGGAGTGGTCTGGTTGTTTACCAGAAATTTGGACCTTCTTCAGAGAAAAGCACAGATGACCTATTAGTCTAATTCAAGCACTTAGCAAGGAATGACTGTACCATTCACACCCCCAGCCCCAGGCTAATGGAGCCAAAGCAAATGGAGAGGCTTTGCCAGCTCAGAGATCTTCCTGGGAGGGGAAGAAGGGGAAGGTCTACCCAGCGCCCTCACTGAAGTTTGCAGGGATGCATGCTGGCCAAGCATTTCCTGCGGGCAGGATGGGCTATGGGGGGGGGGGGATACAAGAACATTTAAGGAGAGGCTTCCCTATTTCACCCACCATTCTGACAACAACTACACACATCCTACCCCCAGTCACCTCCTCACCACCTTAAAACTTGGTTGGGAGAAAAATGGGAAGACAGTCAAATATCCATCTGGTTAAATAAACCACATGTGAAGGAATACGCATCCACACAAGTCTGTGTTCCGCAGCTGATAAAAAGGGTGATGCAGTTCAAGCTCCACTTAGGCATGCTGAAAGATATCTGTGCCTCACACAAGGATACCCCATTTACATAAAATTATACATACCCACCGATTCTCATGTGCACAGATATGCAGAGAGCATTCGGCAGTTTGTGGGTGGGATTTTAAAGATTTTACTTTCTTCTTTATAATTGTCTGTATCGTCCAAATCTACAAAAACCACTTACTATAATTGCTACCTTTTTTCAGTTCTTACTATGTGTCAGTCCCAATACTTTCACATGGATTATCTCATTCCTTATGAACTGGGTTTTATGCTTTTTTGTGTTACAGATGTAGATAATGAGGTCTAGAAAGGTTGAGCCTGAGGTCATATAGCTAGTAACTGACAAAGTCAAATGTTGTTGGAGGACCAAATGAATTAATACATGTAGTAGGGGCTCGATAAGTGAGGGTTATTATTATAATAACTCATCATACTACCTCCTTCTTCTTGTCTTGTCTACACCCCTGCTCTGGTATGTAAAAGACTTGAAAACAGGATCTGAATTATTACTTCAGAATCTCCTACATCCAGCACAGTGCCTGAGAGCCAGCCCTCATGAGATGCTTATGGAAAAAATGAGTGAATGAATTAATAGGCAAACATCCTCAGCTCTATAAATATATTTTCCCAACTACTTTGTTTCCTTATCCCAACAGGATTGCAAATGAGATCAAGGGCCAGTCTCTCCTTTCCTCTGGCCCCCATTATGGTCTGGAGCAAACAAAATACGTGCTCCATAAATGTTTTGGTAGGCTAAGGACACTCCCCTCTTAGCTGCTGTGGCAAATCCCAGACAGTATTCTAGAAATGGCTGGATCTGGGACAGATACAAAGTCAACAGCTTCCCCTAAGCTGTCTGTTCTTCCAACTCCATGTCAAGTACACAGAGAGGTTGAGAGACTTGCTGGAAGTCACACAGCTTCTGGTGGCAGGGTTGCTGTCTCACTTGGCCTCTACTCTTGTGTCCGCAACACCCTTAATTCTGTATAAATTCACAATGTGAGAAAGTAGGAAAAGAGCAAAGTCTTTAAGTCAAATATTTAATCATGATGCAAGTGGCTGGACTGGGAGTATTTTGGGACAGGAGCAGGAAGAAAGCCAGACCCAAATGCTCTGGCTCCTAATGCTCAAATGCTCTGCAGGATCCCCGGGAAGGGTAGGCAGCAGGTTCTCATCTCCTGCTGACAAAGGGGTAGGAGTCTTGCCCCAGCCTTCCTCACCATGGGGAATGTCTTTCTAGGTTCCCATCAGAACATCCAGCCCTGCCTACCTGGAGAATGCAATAGAGAATGACTGATTGGCTAGAGCCTGGGTGATTCTGGTGGGCAGAAGGAAGGGATTAGGAGAGAGCTTTGTAGAGGTGGTCTCCACCAGAAGATAGGACTAAACCATGGTCACCAAGTCCTAAGGAAGGGCAGCCTGAGTCAGAAGCAGAGGGATTGAGAGCTCAGTCAGTTTCTACTATGACCCCATCTGGAGTCAGCTGGATATGAGTGTGCAGGCAGGGTCACCATGTTGTTTACTGCACCTCCTTCCTGATGCTGCTCTTTCCTTAGCCCTTGCAGGCTGCAGGTCAGGCTGGGTGTGGTAGAGAGCAGAGGGGCCCAGAGGAAGTCCAGTTACCAGAGGCTCAGGAACAGAATCAAGGGAAGCGTACAGAAGAAAAGAGAGGACACCCAGGGCTGTGGTCTCAGAGCAGGGTTTTTGTTCTGTAAAAGAAATGGAATGGAGTCAGCTCTACCCCATTCCTCACCTTGGCCTCAGTCAAGGCCTTGCCCTCTCCCCTGAGGTACCCATTAGAGGTCTATGGTATTCATGACCACAGTGAGGTCACACCCTCTATCCCCTTCTCTGGGTTTCCCCCAGGTAGTCCAGTAAAGGTAAGACGTGTGTAATAGAGGAGGCCCTACCTGGCGTTCCATCACTGGAAAGGTGGAGTCTTCCCAGTCCTGAGAGAAGAGTTGGCTGTGAAAACGCATCTTAGCTGCAATGGCCTCCACTGAGGAGAGGAGAGAAGGTAAAATGCAAGCAGGCAAATGACAGAAATTTCTTAGGCTCCCATGGAAGGGACCCTGGCATATAGCAGGGCAGGGGGGAGTGGGCTATTGCCTCATTCTGCTTGCTTATTCCTTGATCTAGAGAGTGTCCCTGGGGCCAAGACAGATAGAACAGGAAGCTTGGGGGGTCACTCAGGGAATGGGAGAAGGAAGAAGGCCCAGATTGGAGGGATGTAAACCTATGCTGAGGAGGGGGCAGAAGATGTCTGCAGGAGATGGATGGAACCAGGGTTGACCACAGAGTTGACCCTTTTCCTCTCCCTGGATCCAGCTGACAGACCCATGGGGGCTGGAAGCAGATGAATACACTCACTGAGGCAGGGGTTGTGGGAGAAGGACTCTTCCAGCTGCTGGCACTCATCCTGCAGGTTGCCACTGCCTCGGCAAGTGCAACTTAAGGCAACACTGGTGTTGACATTGTTGACAAAGTTGGGAGTCATGGCAGTCCCTGTGGGGTGAAGAGAGGATTGTCAGGGCCTCGGCCGACCCAGGCTCGACCCCCACTCTCTGACACCTGTCTCGGGACTGCTCCATCTGGGTTCAATCTCCAGAGCATTCTCACCCCCACGGCTGCCCACCCTGTGGGCTCCCTTCACGTGGCCCCCAGCCTCACCAATCAGCCCCATGTATGCTCGCAGACATCTGGAATGTTCTGTTGCACAGGTCCCTAAGATGTCCAGAGGATGGCAGTGGGTTTGAAAATCCACCAAGCGAGATCTGGAAGAAGGGAAATTTTAAGAGTCTTCATTGAAGGTCTGGCCTGCAGCCTTCCCCCTGGCAACCCCTTTAGCAGACATATCCATCTTCATGCCAAAGCCTCCTGTTTTCAGGGCCTGGCCCAGGGCTTCCCCCTCAGTGAAGCCTATTCCTGTCACAATTAAATGCACTATCACACCATTCCTCATAGCATACCACTTTGAATATGGGCTCCATAATACCTAGCTATGAGATTTTAGACAGCTTCTTCTTTTTTTTTTTTAAGATTTTATTTATTTATCTGACAGACAGAGATCACAAGTAGGCAGAGAAGTAGGCAGAGAAGCAGGCAGAGAGGGAGGAGGAAGCAGGCTCCCTGCTGAGCAGAGAGCCCGATGCGGGGCTCGATCTCAGGACCCTATGATCATGACCTGAGCCAAAGGCAGAGGCTTTAACCCACTGAGCCACCCAGGGACCCCTAGGCAGCTTCTTTAAACTTAGTTTTCTCAACTGTGAATAGAAATGAAAACAGGACTGGGGTGCCTGGGTGGCTTAGTTTGTTGAGCATCTGACTCTTAATTTTGGCTCAGGTGATGATCTCAGGGTCATGGGATCTAGCCCTGCATCAGGCAGTCTGCTCTTCCCTCTCCCTTTGCTCCTCCCCCATTCTCTCCCTCTCCCTGTCTCAAATAAAAAGTAAAATCCTTAAAAAAAAAAAAAAATGAAAACAGTACTTCCTCATGGGTTTTTGTGAGGATGAAATAAGAGATTGCATATACAGCATTTAGCATAGTGATTGGTACATACCAAGTGTTCATTAAATGTCAGATATTGGGGCACCTGGGTAGCTCAGCGGGTTAAAGCCTCTGCCTTCCACTCAGGTCATGATCCCAGGGTCCTGGGATGGAGCCCGGCATCAAGCCCCGCATCTAGCCCCCCCCCACCCCCGCATTGCATTGGGCTCTCTGTTCAGCAGGGAACCTGCTTCCCTTCCTCTCTCTGCCTGCCTCGCTGCCTACTTGTGATCTCTGTCAAATAAATAATAAATAAAATCTTTTTAAAAAATGTCAAATATTGTTATTATTCACATAGATCCTATGATAGGTAAAGCTGGTTATCTTCAGGTGATAGAATTGTAAGTGTGTTTTTTTCTGTACATACTTCTGTGATTTTCTTTACATTTTGCCTGGTTTATTTCTACATCACTCCCACCCAAATGCAAATTCCTTGAAGGGAGGGATGGCTTCTTAGTCATCTAGCCCAGCACTTGCTACATAGTTAGCATAAGAGGCGGTGTAGCCGAACATTAGGCCGACTTCACTCCAAACCTCCTGACTTACTACCTGGATGAACCTCAACAAGCTGTGTAAACTTTCTCTGCTCCGGTTGCTTCTTTGTCAAGTGAAGATGATAGAAAAAAACAATACCATCTATCTTACAGGGTTCTTGACAGTTTACATGAGTTAATACATAGTAAGCCCCTCAAACAGCCCCTAACCCCTAGTAAGTCCTCAGTAAGTGATGGTGTAACGATGATTGAGAGCTTTTGTGTAATATTTTAGAGAAGGAAGCGGGGCTCAGAGACATTAGGCTCAAGGTTACAGAGAAATAAGGGTTAGAACCAGGCTGCAAAACAAGGTTGGGGTGACTCTCGTTGTCAGCAAATGCTACTTAAATGGATGATAACTTCAGTATAATGAGTGTTTTATCCTGAAGAAGCAGAGGAAAGCCAGATCAGAATTTCTGGAGAATATGTATCAAACATCTTACAAATCGTCATGTACTCTGATTTGGTACTGGCATTTGTAGCAACGCATCCTAAGTAATAATTAGATTTGTGCACAAAAATGAACAAGGGTGATATTTATTGTAGCATTATTTATAGCAATAAAGAAATCAACCTAAATATCCAGCAATAGAGGAAGGATTAAACAAAGTATGGGGCATCCATAAAACGGAATACAATGCAGGCATTTAAAAATCAAGTTGTCCAAGGATAGTAAAAGACAAAATAAGCACCACCATTTATTGAGCACTTACCCTGCATAAATTATGCAATTTAACTCTCACCAGAATCCCGTGAGATCTGTATTATTATCCCACTTTTTACAGAGGACTAAGAGGAACGCTAGGTTAAGTGATGGAGTTTTAGGTTCAAGTGATGGGCTCAAAGTCACACAGCCCCAGGTTTTAAATTCAGATCTGACTCCGGAGCCTGCGGGCACCACTATCCCATACTGCTTCCACAGAAAAATGCCCATGAGATATACACATAAATTAAAAAAAAAAAAAAAGAGGTACAAATATATTTCTAGAATATCGTTTTGTTTATCTGTATACAAAAAAGGCTGGAAGGAAACCCTCCCCAAAGGATGTAGATCATCTTCAGGTGATGGATTTTGAGGGCGCTTTTATATTTTTTATATTTTCCGAACTTTTTACACAAAGGTTTTTTTGGTGTTTTTGTTTTTGTTTTTTATTTTTGCTTTTTTGTTTTTTGTTTTTGAGAAAAGGGTTTCAGGAAATACTGAAGGGAACTACGGGGTGAAGTCTTTCCACGGTCTCTGGGCAGCAAACCCAACCCCGCCCAGAAAGGTAGCCAGCCGGCCAGGAGCGGTGTGCACGGTGCCCTCACCCACCCTGCCCGCCCACACCTGGCACCAGCACCTGCACAGCGGGTCAGAGATGCAGACGCGCCGCAGCTCCAAGCAGTTGGGGGCCCCGGACGGCAGCGCGCAGCTGGGAGCGATGGTGTTGCGCCTGCGTTGCCCGCAGCCCTGGTCGGCCGGTGCGCACGGGCACAGCAGCAGGCCCTGAGAGTGGGGCTCCGACGCCTTCTCAAAGAAGGCGCGGAGCTGCCGGAGGCAGGTGGGGCGTTGGCAGTGGGACCCCGAGCACGCCTCCCCATAGGCCTTGCGCAGCCGGTCACACTTGTCATTAAGAGTGCACAGCATGGCGAATTTGAGGCAGAGGTCTGAGTCTGGGGGGAGAAGGGCACCAAGTCACCAGTCGTCCGTGCAAACGTGCAGCCCAGTTTTGCTAGGAACCCCTGCAACCCTCCGATTTAACAAGGACAGTGCTGGGGATAGGAGGAAAGCGAGGACTATCCCGAATACGACCACTACTAATCCATGGCTTTCCCCCTACCCATAAACTATATCTGGTATTTGTGAGCTTTCCCCCGTCTTATTCCTCAGCTTGCCTAGGTATAATAGTAATAACAACAACAACAATAATAATAAATAAATAAATAAAAGGAATAGAAGCTATCTATCTATTACACTTACTCATCTAGAATTGAAGCATCCAGAAAGCTCACCTGAAACTCCTTCCTCAGTCCCATGCAGTGAGTGAAGACATCTCATGGTGGAAACCATTATCTAGAGATCCCATAACATTATAAAGCACTTTCTGAACCACAGAAACAGATGCAACCAAATTCTACTTAGAATTTTTGTTTTGTTTTGCATCTATTTTGCCCAGTTTTAATAACACCTGTCTGTCTTTAATGATTGATACATGCATAAAAGCTCCCCATAATTCTGTGTCTTGGGAAATTATGGTCCTATTACTATAACAGCAATTCTAGCAGTCAGAACAATGGGGTGACTGGAACAGGTTATTCCCAGATTCCTTGTAACTAAGAGTTTATGTATAAATCTCTATGCTTTTCTCTGAAAATTCTATTTCTGATATATAGGACTGAATGTACAACAAAGCTCACATCCTTCTCAAAAAGCAAGTGCATGGGTGTGTGCTCCTCCTTTCCAATTAACACAACAGCCCCACTTTCCTGAAAAACATGCATTTTAGTCCTTGCTAGACAGACGGCTCCCACCCGGAGTCACCCCTGAGGAGTCACATTCTCTCTCACCATTTTCCCTGCCCAACACCTCACCCATCCCATTAGAATGGTTTGAAAACAAGCAATTTCCTAGTCTTCAGGGACAAAAAGCTACTTTCCTGGCTGCCTAGAATAAGGGTAAATACTTCAGTTCAGCATATTTTTTCTGGGCCTGCTGCCACTCCATCAAACCCTTTGTAGAGACCCATCTTTTGGAACCCGGGAGCCCTAATGGCCTCCCTTCAAATGCATCCCTAATACCTATTGCTCTTTGTTGACTCATAAGATCACAGCATGCCCCCATCCTGACAAAATGCTTCTTTAGTTATCTGGCAGACTAGAACTCTCCCCCAACTCACCCTCTGGTTTGTGTTCCCCACCAGCAACCCTTCCTCTAGGGTCCAGGCCCACCCCTCATGCCCCAGCCCCAGCTTGCTGTCCACACCTGGTTTGAGCATGTTCAGTTTGCTGAGATTCATTTTCCAGGGTTTTCTGGTCACTGCGTCTTCATAGGGGGAAACATCCAGTTCAAAGTCACCTAGAGACAAGGTGACAAGAATCCTGAGGATTGGGCTGGGGGGTGGGAGCAGGAGGGACTGGGCCTGCTGGGTCAGCCCTCAAAGCCCTGTGGAAAAAAGGAAAAGCACAGTCTCTACCTAACTAGTTGCAAGCTGTTTAGAGGTGAGAAAAAAGGCAAGACCATAAAGGTAGAGGCTGGGCTCAGTGAATTCACTGGGTTTAATGATAATAATAAAGCTACTATTTGTTGAGTACACTGTGCACTGGGCACCACGGCATCAGTGAAAAAGAAGAAAAAAATTCAATCTCAGTCCTCCTAGCTGCCTTTGGGTAGAAAAGAAGAAAGAGGCTGAGAGAGGTTAAGTCACTGGCTCAGGCTCACAGAGGCTAAAAAGTGGAGCTGGGACTTGAAACCTGGACTGATACCAGAGTTTCCACTCCTAACCACTACACATATGGCCTGTGTGTACATAAGCAGGCAAGGGGATTCTGTCTTGTTTTCTCTTACTGTTGAGGAAGGAGCTATAGTAGACTCTGTTCTAGGCCTGACCATGTACCTATGGAGATGCATCGCACACTGAGGAAGTGGAAGTAAGGCCGGATCCCAAATTGAACCTGAATGAGAAAAGCAGAGAACTCTGGAAGAGACAATGATCTCAAAGGAAACATACCTTTCCCAGTCACCCTCAGGGTGCTGTGGGCTCCTTAAGGGGACATAATAGGTCTTATAAAGTCACTGCATAACTCATACACGTGGTAGGTACTCAGTAAATGTTGGCTAATTAATCTTGTTGGAAGACAGAGGTGAGAGAGTGCAAGGGGTCACCCAAATTGCCTTTGAGAACGCATCTTTAGGAGGGAAGAAATATGGATGATGTCAAGCAAATTGGAAAGGATGGTCTGGATATTTGGGAAGACCTGAGAGCTCCCAAGGGAAAATTCAGGAAGGCAAAAGGATCCAGGGAGAAGTCTCTTGGGACGTTCTTTTTTTTTTTTTTAAGATTTTATTTATTTATTTGACAGAAAGAGAGAGATCACAAGTAGGCAGGGGGGTAGGGAAGCAGGCTCCATGCTGAGCAGAGAGCTGATGTGGGGCTCGATCCTAAGATCCTGAGATCATGACCTGAGCCAAAGGCAGAGACTTAACCCACTGAGCCACCCTCTGGGGACGTTCTGAAAGAGAACCAATTAGCACAAGTGGAAGACAAGGAACAAAAAGTATGGTAAATTGGGGGTGCCTGGGTGGCTCAGTGGGTTAAAGCCTCTGCCTTCGGCTCAGGTCATAATCTCAGGGTCCTGGGATCAAGCCCTGCATCGGGCTCTCTGCTCAGTGGGAGCCTGCTTCCTCCTCTCTCTCTCTGCCTGCCTCTCTGTCTACTTGTGATCTCTGTCTGTCAAATAAATAAATAAAATCTTTAAAAAATATATGGTAAATTTATTACTGTTTCCAGTTATATGCTGGCTACCCACCCAGTGAGAGGACTGTACACCATGGCCTTCCCACCCCCTTGCCATGTGACTTTCAGGCTCTCTATAAGAGTATACCTCCACACCCTACTGTAAGGGTTACCCATGTGACTTGCTTTAGTCTGTGGATTGTGAACTAAAGTGACATAAATCACATCTGAGCTGGCATTTTAAGAACCATCACATTGTCCTGCTGCTTGTTTTTTTTCCCTCTACCAGTCTGGGTCCTAGAAAGAAGAAGACAGGTAGAGAAAAGACAAAGCTAACTCAAGGAACCCCACAGCAGATATATAACATGAGCAAAAATGAAAATTTTGTTGTGGAAGGCCATATATGTGGGGGTTGATTGGTTTTTATTGCAGCATAAACTAACAAATTCTTATTAAAAACATAACTGGTGGGGCGCCTGGGTGACTCAGTGGGTTAAGCCTCTGCCTTCAGCTCAGGTCATGATCCCGGGGTCTTGGGATCAAGCCCCACATTGGGCTCTCCGCCTAGCAGGTAGCCTGCTTCCCCCCCGCCACCTCTGCCTGCCTCTCTGCTTACTTGTGATCTCTGTCAAATAAATAAATAAAATCTTAAAAAAAAAAAAAGTAACTGGTATCTAGAAGTGAGTACGGCAGTAACAACAAAAAAACCTAAAATGTGTGGTTTGGGTGTTGGGACTGGGCAGTGAGTGGATGGTGAATAAGCTGTTCCAGGGGTATGAAATAGGCAGGGGCAACGCATTTGGTAAAATTGTTGCCTACAATAACCTGGAAGAAAGATGTACTGAATGAGATTGTGCTTTAAGGAAAAGAAGCTGAGAAGCAGAAGTTTCTAGTATGTCTTGATTGCTATTGCCTGCCATTTTGCAAGGTACTACAAAAAAGATAAAAGATCAGAGAAGTGACCAGTTTACAAATAGGGAGCAAAAAGAAAAACAATCCAGAAATTTGAGGATTTGTAGGATTAAGAGATGCAACTGCTTTTGCATACTTTTTATTCAAATAGTAAAAGATAAAATTGAGAGATGCTTTGAGTAATAAGGTCGATTACAACTCAGCCTTAGGGCAAAGACTAATTCAATGATACGGCTATCATGCTCTTTGTGGAGATTTCTCAATGATTAAGATGGTATCAATAAATCCTGCCAGTTAGACAGATATGTTTGGAGAAAAAAGACTAGGGTAGTGGCTCTCCCACAGAAGCCTGGTAAGAACAAAAATGCTTCTAATGAGGTCTAGAAAGAGACACATCTTGAAAAGAATTATTGGAAAGGCTACTAGCACATGAGGTGACAGAAACCAAAGATATAGAAAGCAATTAAGTTTTGAGAGAGCTGTATTGCTAAAAGCCACGAGCCTGGATTCAAATAGATTCTACTGGAGCCTTAAAAGTCCCAGCATTCCTCAGGAAGCAAGCAAGAAAGTGGAAAATGATGTTCACTCCTCAAGGAGTTGGGAGTCTCCACAATCTTTCTCAGACATGGCCAAAGAAAATAATGGGAAAGGAAGGACCTGCCAGGGGTAGGGGGGCTGGGCCAAGAGCCCTGGAGAACAATAGATAAAGCAATTCTTCAAAGGAACAAAAGCAGATTCTTATTAAAGAGTAGTGCCCACTACCAAGAGAAGATGGCCCTTACAATGGTTATGTGGTGGGACATCAGAACCACTATGAAGCAATGGCTGCTGTGTGCGTCCCATTCCTCCACTTCCTGAGAGTGTTTGCTGTGGTTCTCCCATCCCTGCTCCACTGTTATATTCAAAGTACATACTGGAGGCAGATGACCTGTCCTCTTTGTCCATAGGTAGCTAGACGAAGAGGAGTCATATCCAGACCTGACAGAGAAATTTTCCCAAGATCCTAGACTGGGAGCCTGATATACTGTTTGGCTAGAACCCTTAGGGTATCTTCCTTAGAAAGTGGGTTGATATGCATCTGACTGGCTCAGTTGGAAGAGCACGCAACTCTCTTGATCTGGGGTTGTGAGTTCAAGCCCCATGTTTGGTGTAGAGATTACTTAAGGATAAATCTGAAAGAAAGAAAAGAAAAGAAGGAAGGAGGTTAATACATTTTGCTTGTGGAAGAGAGAGAAATGAGTATTTTAACCAAATAGTGAACTATGGTAGATTGTATAGTACTTTGTATATTACTTTGCCCTCCCTGTAAGATTATACATCCTCACTTATTGCCAGGTGATTTTCAGGGTCTCTTGTGGGAGTATACTTCCCCCTTACCAGGGAGGTCAGGCTTGGCTATGGGATCTGCTTTGTTCATGGAATGTGAGCATAAGTATTTCATGTAACGTCTAAGTAGAAGCTTTTAAAGACATCAAGCGATTCTGTCATTACTTATTTCCCTCTGCCGTAAGAAAAGAACTTCCTGGACGGAGGCTGTACCTTCAACCTGGATTTGAAAATGAAGAGGACAGATGACACAGCCAACACAGAATATGAGCGAGAACTAAACCTTTGTTTTACAAGTCACTGTTCTGTTATTGCGGTGTAGTCCAGTAAAAGTGGACTAATACAAAAAGCTGTCTCTGGAAAGAGTCAGAGGAAGGTCCTCTCTCTTTGGCTATTCCAGCGTCTTCTCTCTTACTGCCTTCTGTCTGGTTAATGAGTATCCTTTCTGTTAAAGGCAGGAGCAGGACACTGCCCACCCCCACCCTCTCAGAACTTATGAATTATGTTTTATTTGGAATCTCTGAATGGGTTAAGACCATTTTCCTCCATGTCCTGTCCACACCCTTCTGCTCCATGAATTGCCCAGGTTGGGCCTCAGCCTGGTTCAGAGTTCTGCCAAGAGGCAGCTACATGTGACCAGGTAAGAAAGAGGGAAGAAGGGAGAAGAGAGGGCAGTGTTGTAGGTACCCAGAAGGATACTGCCAAGTCCTCCCTCTACTTCTTACTGATGTTAAATGCAGAGCTTCATTACCATCCTAGTCAGAGTCTACCCATCCTGCCTATATTCTGCAGGATTAAATGACAACCCATGAGAGCCATCTTCCTTAATTTAGTTCATTCTATGATGGGGACCTCACCAAGGCTGCGGGCAAGGTGAACGGTCCAGTAGATGTCCAGGCAGGCAACTTGGTTCTTCATGCGGCGGTGGCATGTGCAGCTCATCAGAGAGCTATTCCTCAGGTGCTGTGCTGCCTCCCTGCACTCCACAGGGACCAAAAGCTCCTGTGCGGGTGATGGGGTGCTTACACTAGAGGTGCAGGAATTCAGGTGGCGGTAGGCAGCACTGCAAATAGGATCAACCTGGCACTTCCTCCTGGCCTGGATGCAGTTGTTCATCAGCCGGCCTTCAGTAGGAAGGGGGTCTGTTGTGGAGGAAGAGAGACCAGGTGAGACGCACATGAGGTCAGAGTAGCTGACCAGGATTAACAAGTTGCAAGGTAGGGTAGGGAGGATTCAAGACAAAACCTTTGGCAGGGGACGCCTGGGTGGCTCTGTTGGTTGAATATCCTTAGACTCAGATCATGATCCCAGGGTCCTCAGATCAAGTCCCACATTGGGCTCCCTGCTGGGCAAGGAACCTGCTTCTCCCTCTGCCTGCCACTCTCCCTGCTTGTGCTCTCACTCTCTTTCTTTCTCTCAGACAAATAAATGAATAAAATCTTAAAACACACACACACAAAAACTCTTGGGCAGGAAAGTCTTAGGGTGACACAAAAGCCTTTAGGAAGAAATGGGGAGAAAAGTCTAGCAGAAGTCAAGAATCTGTAGCTATCACAATTTGGACAGAACAGATCAGATCCAAGAAGAAGTGGTATGAAGAAAGGCTCCTGGGAGAAGGAGGGGGATTACTATTTGAAGCTGAGCCTGGTGACCCTGCCAGGCACAGGGAAGAGGACCCTGGCAGAGCAATGCATGGGCAGGGTTAGTATCATAACCAGAGTTGACAAATGTGCTTGGGAGTGACAGTTAACAACTCTGAAGCTTCCATTAAAAGTCACTTAAAAATATCTTCCAGGGGGAATGGGTTAGTGTTGGAGTTGGGGAGCTTTTATTGATTCTGTCACTCAAGAATACTAAGGCTGGTTATAGTTCAGCCCTCATGGAAGACCCTACAACCTAGGACTTAGCGTCCCTATCAAAGGGTACCAGAATGCCATTATGTCATCAGTTTTGCAAGGTTAAACTTCTAGGAGTCATTTTTAATTCTTCTCTTTCCTGTTCAATCAAACAAGTCCTACCAACTCCACAATATATCAGGAAACTGTCCACTTCTCTCCACATCTATCACCACCTCCTTAGCTCAAACTACCATCAATTCCTGTCCGAACTACTTCCAAGACTTTTTTTTTTTAATTTTATTTATTTATTTAACAGACAGAGACCACAAGTAGGCAGAGAGGCAGAGAGAGAGGGGGAAGCAGGCTCCCCGCTGAGCAGAGAGCCTAATGCGGGGCTCGATCCCAGGACCCTGAGATCATGACCTGAGCCTAAGGCAGAGGCTTAACCCACTGAGCCACCCAGGCGCCACCTTCCAAGACTCTTTATTGGTCTCCCTGTCCATCTTCCAAATTTATTCTCCCATACCATTCAGCTATTTTTTGTTTTGTTTTGCAGCTTTATCGAGATGTGATTGATATTGTGTAAGCTTTAGGTGTGCAATGTGATGATTTGATTCATGTACATATTGTGAAGTGATCAACCCAGTAAGATTGGTTAATACATCCTTCACCTCATGTAACTACCATTTTGTTGTTTGCAGCCACCTTTTTGAATGACAATTTTTAGGTTGGAAACCACCTTCAGTGAAATTCATGCAACATAAAATTAACAAGATTAAAGGGCATAACTAAGTGACATTCAGTACATTCACAATGTTGTACAACCATCACATCTATCCAACTCCAATATATTCTTGTTATCCCAAAAGGAAACCCATACCCATGAAACAGTCACTCTACATTTCCCTCCCCTTAGTCTCTGGCAACCACCAATCCTAACTTCTGTCTCTACAGATTTACCCATTTCTAGATATTTCATACAAATGGAATCATAAAATAGGTCATCTTTTACATCTGGCTTCTTTTACCTAACATACTGCTTTTTGTGGTTCATCCACATGGTAGCATATACCAGAACTTCATTTTTTATACATGAAGTAATATTTCACTGTATGGATAGCCCATGTTTTGTTTATCTATACACCAGTTGATGGACATTTGGGTTGTTTCCAGGCTTTGGTTATTGTGAACAGGGCTTCTCTGAACATTCATGTAAAAGTATTTGCTCGAATTCCTGTATAAAATTCTTCTAGGTATATATTTACCAGTGGAATTGCTGGGTCATATGGTAATTCTGTTTAACTTTTTGAGGAACCACCCAATTGTTTTCCACAGTGGTTGCACCATTTGTCATTCCTATTAGCATTGTACAAACGTTCCAATTTCTCCACAAACTTGCCAACTCTTGTTATTTTCTGTTTTGTGTTTTCTTTTAACCAGCCATCCTTACAGGTATGAGGTGGCATATTACTGTGGTTTTCATTTGGATTTCCCTAAAGACTTATGATGTTGAGCATATTTTGTGCATTTTGTCATTTATATATCATGTTTGGTAATAATTTTTCATTGAAGTACAACATACAGAAACATGCACTAATCAAAATGTTCAGTATAATGAATTTCAAATTGAATATACTGTGGAACCAAACCTCAGATAAAGAACCAGAACGTTACCAGTACCCGAGATGCCCTCTGCCAGTCACCAACCCCTCTGAAGGAAACCAATTCAATGTCTTGATTTCTAACATTAGAGATTAGTTTTATCTGTTTTTCCATCGTACAATATGTGCTTTTGGTGTCTTGGTTTCTTTTGCTCAATATTAAGCTTAGTTCACCCACACTTTTTTTTTTTTAAAGATTTTATTTATTTATTTACTTGAGGGGGAGAGAGAGACAGTGCACACACACAAGCAGGGGGAGTGGCAGGCAAAGGGAGAAGCAGGCTCCCCACTGTGCAAGGAGCCCTGATGTGGGACTCAATCCTAGGACCCTGGGATCATGACCTGAAGGCAGATGCTTAACTGACTGAGCCACACAGGCGTCCTCACACACACTATTAAGTATGGTTGTAACTACCTTATTTTTATTTTTCTTACTGTATATCATTCCATTGTGTGAATATAACATAATTCTAATGGCAATTGGCATTATATGGGATCATCTCTTAAATACTACAAATGAGATCATTTCATTTCTCTGCTTAAATTCTTCCAACAGTTCCCATGCACTTACCTCCTAGCCCTCTCTTCCTCTCCCACTTCCTTCCACCCACACCAGCCTTCTTTCTGTTGCCACTGAACCAGACAAGCTTGTGTCAACCTTAGTGTTTTTTCCATAGCCTTTCTTTCTGCTTGGAATGCTCTTCTCCCAATCTTCATGTGGCTGGCCCTTTCTGGTAATTCACTTTTCAGCCTAAATGTCACCACAGAAAGACCATCTCTAACAAACCAATGTAAAATAACCCCCAAGCTACTCTACTACGTCATTACTCCAAAACTCTGCATAGCACTTTCATCACTTGATCGTTTTTTTTTTTAAAGATTTTATTTATTTATTTGACAGACAGAGATCACAAGCAGGCAGAGAAGCAGGCAGAGAGATAGGAGGAAGCAGGCTCCCTGCTGAGCAGAGAGCCTGATTCGGGGCTCCATCCCAGGACCCTGGGATCATGACCTGAGCCGAAGGCAGAGGCTTTAACCCACTAAGCCACCCAGGCACCCCATCACTTGATCTTTTTAATTTGAGTTTTTATCGATTATCTCTGTCTCCACTTCCACATGTATCTTATCACTACTCTGTTGCGAGTGCCTAGTACAGTGCTTGTTTTTTTATGAGTTCCTACTATTTAAGAGATAACCAAATAACAGAGTAATTCTGTGAGCCACCTCTGTAACTTCTCTGAACCCCTTCCCTCTAGTTAGAATCAAAGTGCCAGGGCGCCTGGGTGGCTCAGTCGGTTAAGCATTTGCCTTTAGCTTATGGGTCCTGGGATCGAGCCCCATATCGGGCTCCCTGCTGGGTCGGAGGAGCCTGCTTCTTCCTCTCCTCTTCCTCTGCCCCTCCGCATTGCTTGTGTCCCCACCCAAATGAATAAATAAAATACTAAAGAAAAAAAAAACATAGCAAAGTACCAAAATTAGGAGGAGCCTGAGTTTAGTTAGTTCAACCTTCTTTTACAATCAAATAATCAAGTAGATTACTTATTAAAATGCAGATTTCTGGGGTGCTTGGTTGGCTCAGTTGGTTAAGCAACTGCCTTCAATTCAGGTCATGATCCCAGAGTGGGATCAAGTTCTGTGTCAGGCACCAGTCCCGCATCAGGCTCCCAGCTCCACAGGGAGTCTGCTTCTCCCTCTGACTTTCTCTCCTCTCATGCTCTCTCTCACTGTCTCTCTCTCTCTAAATAAGAAAATAAATAAAATCTTTTTAAAAAATGCAGATTTCTGACCTCATCCCAGAACTACTGAATCAGAGTCTCTGGTGATAATGCCTAGGAATCTGAGTTTTACCAAGTTCACTGGAAAATAGGACGCACCCTAAGAACTGGTCATACCCAATGCACAAACAAAAGCAGTATCAGTAGTATTGATCACACCTTTTGCTTCAGGATCTAATAAGCTTCAGCATGGCATTATCACTCTTTATTTAAATTTTTTATATTTCGCTCACCATGGATTTTGGGGGGAGCGTTGATTTTGATTTTTAGTGTAAGTGCTGCTGAAGAGAGCACTGATTTTGATTTTTTAAAAATTTTTAAAAAGATTTTATTTATTTATTTGAGAGAGAAAGCGAGAATGAGAGAGAAAGAGCATGAGAGGGGAGAAGCAGGCTCCCCACCGAGCAGGAAGCCTGATCCAGGACTTGATCCTGGAACTCCAGGATCATGACCCGAGCTGAAGGCAGTTGTTTAAAATTTTTTAAATTTAAAAAAATTTTGGGGCGCCTGGGTGGCTCAGCGGGTTAAGCCGCTGCCTTTGGCTCAGGTCATGATCTCAGGGTCCTGGGATCGAGCCCTGCATCGGGCTCTCTGCTCAGCGGGGAGCCTGCTTCCTCCTCTCTCTCTGCCTGCCTCTCTGCCTGCTTGTGATCTCTCTCTGTCAAATAAATAAATAAAATCTTTAAAAAAAAATAAAATAAATTTAAAAAAATTTTGATTTCTTAAAAATACTACACTGAAGGGCACCTGGCTGGCTCAGCTGGTGGAGCCCCATGTTGGACCCAGAGATTACTTAAAAAAAAACAACAACAACCTGAAATATACTTAAAAAAATACTGCATTGGGGCACCTGGGTGGCTCAGTGGGTTAAAGCCTCTGCCTTCAGCTCAGGTCATGATCCCAGGGTCCTGGGATCGAGCCCCATATTGGGCTCTCTGCTCAGCAGGGAGCCTGCTTCCCTCTCTCTCTCTGCCTGCCTCCCTGCCTACTTGTGATCTCTGTCTGTCAAATAAATAAGTAAAATCTTAAAAAAAAAAAAAATACTGCATTACTGGCGCCTGGGTGGCTCAATGGGTTAAAGCCTCTGCCTTCAGCTCAGGTCATGATCTCAGGGTCCTGGGATTGAGCCCTGCATCGGGCTCTCTGTTCAGCTGGGAGCCTGCTTCCCCCTCTCTCTCTGCCTGCCTCTCTGCCTACTTGTGATCTCTGTCTGTCAAATGAATAAAATCTTTAAAAAATAAATAAATAAAATAAAAAATACTGCATTAAAATATTTTTTATCTTGACTACTGTTTCTTGGCACACCCCCCTTCACTCATTCACCTTAGTCCCAGTTCTGCCTTCACTTTCTTTCTTTCTTTCTTTTTTAAGATTTTGTTCATTTATTTGACAGACAGAGATCACAAGCAGGCAGAGAGGCAGGCAGAGAGAGAGAGAGAGAGAGAGAGAGAGAGAGAGAGAGAGGAGGAAGCAGGCTCCCTGCCAAGCAGAGAGCCCGATGTGGGGCTCGATCCCAGGACCCCGGGATCATGACCTGAGCCCAGGCAGAGGCTTTAACCCACTGAGCCACCCAGGCACCCCATGCCTTCACTTTCTGAACTTTAGTTGCTCAAATGTAAGGTAAGGAGTTTGGATTAAACCATTGTTTCTCAAAGGAGGGAAGAGACGCATTAGGCCCCTTTAAGGGGTATATCAGAATTTACAAAGGTAATGCGTGGTTCAAAAAAGTATATTTGATCATTACGTATGTGGAAGATGAAAAAAGCTTTTAAATTTCAAAAAAAAATTTAGGGAAGGCATAAGATATTTATCTTTACCGAAAGGGAAACAGGGATTTAAGCAGTTTGAGAAATACTAAATGTTTAAGAGGTTACTTCTGGTAGGTATCCAGTAAGTGCCTAATGAAAGAGATGTAACAAGTCTAAGTCTCATTGCTAAAACTGGACTAAAGGGGCGCCTGGGTGGCTCAGTGGGTTAAAGCCTTTGCCTTCGGCTCAGGTCATGATCCCAGGGTCCTAGGATCGAGCCCCACATCGGGCTCTCTGCTCAGCAGGGAGCCTGCTTCCCTCTCTCTCTCTGCCTGCCTCTCTGCCTACCTGTGATCTCTGTCTGTCAAATAAACAAATAAAATCTTTAAAAAAAAAATAAAACTGGACTAAATATTGAGTCACAACAATTGTCAGAAGTAAATCTCTCCTATTTCATAGCTGATGGTTCACTGAGTCTGAACAGAGGACTTAGGAGCAATCACAGCTCAACAAAAGAAAAGTAGGGGCAATGTTAAATTTCATCATAACAAGGGGAACTTGCTACACTTAACTGATTAATTAGGAAGGTGTTTAATGTTTACCCTGATCTTGATGTGCAGCTATACCGTTAGGGTTAGTGAAATTTTCTGGGAAGTCAAATCAGACTGGTGATACCTTGCTGCCCTGATTTACTGATGGAGTCAATCTGGACAAACCAGCTCTTTCCCTCTCTTCTTCCATACGTGTCTTGCAGTCAAGATTGTATTCCTCCAGTACTACTTTATGGCCCTAGCTGATGGGCCCATGTGTGATCCCTGCCTCAGGATTTCCCCTACTCGGGCTCTATGCAAGAGTCCCACAATAAGATTCCATGCATGCATCCCACTCCCAAAGTTCATGGGCATGTTCCCTGGGATCATGGATCCCAGGCTACCATTGTCCGGGGAATGGCATGGTCCTAAAACCAGACCTTGAACTATATATTCCACAAAATACCTATTGTGTATCTATAATAGGGCAAGGCACTGTGCTGAGCCTTCTTCCCCTGTAGCAAGTCTTCTACTCCAATTAAAACAATAAAAATATGTCCTGAAAGAGTGGGGGGTGGAAGTAGGTTGGTGACAAGAAATATTCTCAAATAATGTTAGCAAGTTCTAGCAGCAGTTTACAACCCTAATTTGTGAGAAGTCAGTTCAAACAAAAACTTCTCTTTCTTCATCTGTACCTAGAGTCCACTTCCCCAGTCCTTACAGGGAGTGGAAGACTTGAAGCCAGTGAGGAGCAAATGGCAGTCCTGCTTCTGATTCTTCCCGCCTTCTAGAGATGCTGTCGTGGAAGTGGCCTGGCTGCAACTGTTCTATGTCTGTGCAGAGGCACCTCAAAAGAGGGACGAGGCGGGACGGGGTGGTGGGGGATGGGGAAAAGGGAGATGCTTGGGTGTCCGGCCATGGCTGGCATTCAATCTATAATAGTTCAAAAACTGTATTATGCATTCAAGGCACCCCCTTCCTAGCACCCTGGGCGTCCTTCCTCCGACAGATGGACACCTGTGACCAGCGCCCCGCCTATGCTCCCCTCTCCTCCCCCTAACGCCGCGGCCGGCCGAAACCAGCCGGTGGACGCACAGACGACACTCACCGGCTCGGAGCCGCAGAGATACCAGCAGCAGGAGCAGGAACGCGGGCGGCAGTGTTCGCGGGATTGGAGGACGCGCCATGGCTCGGTCCTCACGCCAGCCGTCCGCGTCCGAGACGCTGTGCCAGCGCCGGGCGCGGCGCTCTCCTCGCTCCTCGCCCAGAGGTTCTGCGATCGGGGCTCCTCCAACGCCGCCTCCTGCCCTTCCTCCCGCGCAGCGCCGACACTCTCCCACCAGGGTCCTGGGCGCCGCCCTCCAACTCCGAAGCGCTCGGACGCACCACAACGCCGCTTCTACTCTAGGCAGAGGGCCGTGTGGGTGGGGATGAGCGAGGTCAGGTGCCCCGGCGACCGCGTGCAAGAGGGTGCTCTACCCGAGCCCACCTGCGCGCCGCTGCCCACTTTCCTTAGAGAATTCCGCCCAAGACAATTGCGGCAGCTGCCTCGGGAGAGTCCCCATCTCGTGGGCCCAAGTATTTATCAAGAAAAGCCCCATTTCTCACTTGCTGGACCCCCACCCCCTCCAGGAACAAGTGAAATCTTGTAGCAAAAGCTGAGCAAGTCAGCATAAGGGCAGTTTCACTTCTAGTATTTATTTTTCCTCTTAGAATTTGCACATCCAGGGACGCCTGGGTGGCTCAGTTGGTCGGCTCAGGTCATGATCCTGAAGTCCCAGGATCGAGTCCCGCATCGGGCTCCCAGCTCCACGGGGAGCCTGCTTCTCTCTCTGACCTTCTCCTCGCTCATGCTCTCTCTCACTCAAATAAATAAATAAAATCTAAAAAAAAAAAAAAAAAAAAAAGAATTTGCACATCCATGCCTCCATTTCCTGTTGAAGAACTTCGGGGTAAGCTTGCGCTGTTACCATTAACCCCATGATTCTGCAAATAGGTCCCAGACAGGTGAAATGGCGGCCAGATCCCAGGACTTAACGCCAGACTAGCTTCCTCCAAAATTCACTGTCATGAGGGAGGGTGGAAGGATTAAACTCTGTTCAGGTTAGAGAATTACCTGGAGGAACGACAGGATCGCTGAGGAAGGTGGCTAGAAAGACCACTTTAGGAGCCTCCTCATCTTCAGGTATGTTTCAGAAAGCAACCTACTCTACTAAGATTAAACAGCGAGATAGAAACACAGCTTTGCCCAGAGCCCAGATTTCTACCCACAAGGGTAAGGGCATTTGTTGGGGGTTAGGGTTGATTCCCAAGAGCTCCCAAGGGTAAAAACAGAGACACAATGACTTGGAAGAATAAGTGCTTAGGAAGAGAGAGGATGATAAAGGAAGTGGAGGGTTTCACCCCCAACCCCTGCAGCCCAAACCCTCTCCTCACTTGTGCAGAGGCCTGGCAGAGGGCCAGGAGGAGGGTATTGAGAAGTGCAATATAAACCTCTGAGATTTATTGGCTGCTGCTTCTGAATATGGCCAGCCTGCTGCGGCCTCTGGGGGGCATTTGCCAATGTAATCAGCCCAGAAAGAGAGTCATTCCAGCCAGGGGTGTAAATCACCCTTCACAAGGCTGGGAGAGAGACATGTGGCCCTAGATAAGGAAGGAGAGATGTGGCCTCTTGTGCCGTTTCCTCCCTTCTCCTGCCCAGGGGGAGATAGTTCCTGAGCTGTAATGCACTTTAAATGGAGTTTGGTCTTCGTTTTAATCTCTATCTGCCCTTCCAGTCTTCCAGGAGAGCTGTGAAAGTGAACATCTGGCTCCTCAGCTTTTGTACAGGGCCTGATTTCCCCCAGCTCCATACTACCTCCTTATGTTAAGTCAGAAAGCTGTAGCTGGGCACAGATAGCCCCCACTGTCCACTCCACTCTGGCAATAGTTTCAAAATGGGATTTAAAAGCAAAGGGTAACTTGGGGCACCAGGTGGCTGAGTCAGTTAAGAGTCTGCCTTCAGCTCAGGTCATAATCCCAAAGTCCTGGGATCGAGCCCAGCATGAAGTCCACTCTCCCTCTCCCTCTGCCATTCCCCCTGATTCTGCTCTCTCTCTCAAATAAATGAATAAAATTAAAAAAAAAGAAAAAAAGAGGCAGGGGCGCCTGGGTGGCTCAGTGGGTTAAGCCTCTGTCTTCAGCTCAGGTCATGATCTCAGGGTTCTGGGATCAAGCCCTGCATTGGCCTCCCTGCTCAGCAGGTAGCCTGCTTCCCGCCCCCCCTTGCCTGCCTCTCTGCCTACTTGTGATCTCTCTGTCAAATAAGTAAATAAAATCTTAAAAAAAAAAAAAAAGCAAAGGGAAACAATTTCAAGATTTTATTTATTTATTTGAGAGAGAGAGAGAGCGAGCATGCATAGCAAGGGGAGAGAAACTCAAGCAGACTCAGTGAGCAGAGCCTGACTTGGGACTTGATCTCACAATACTGAGATCAGCCCTGAGCCAAAACCAAGAGTCTGGTGCCTAACCAATTGTGCCACCCAGGGCCCCAAATGGTAACCATTTCAGATGGTTGGGATGCTAGGAAACAGCTGAAAGACCTATGAATCAACAGAGGTTGGGATGGGAGTTAAGAGGTGTCACCTCTGCTCTAACCCTCCTTTAGCAAACAAGCCCAATCAAGTTTGGGTGGCAGGATAGGGTGGGAAAAGGCATGTGCTCAGGATGCATACTCTGAGTGTCCATTCAGTGCCATCCCCATGGAATGGACCAGGAAGGCAGGAACAAACTCAAACTGCTAGGCTGACAGCAATGCCCAATTCCACCTGTAACAGGCCAGCCTTTTTGTGAGAATGAGATGCTGGACCATCTTTCTGTCTGGGCACTGGAGTGGAGAGCCTGACATCACTGGGCCGTGGATGATGATTGGAAACCAAAGGTAGGGAAGGGATGAGGAAGCCTCTGCAAATAATTATGACTCCAGGAGTTATATGGACAGCTCTTCCAGCACACCCTCTCCCCACCAACCACGTCCCCTGTGACTGCCAACACCTGCTAGATAAGCACAATTGCCTTTGGGAACCTTGTGGATAATGACAAATGAGCCTGTCCTTTCTACAAAGATGATGCTACTCAGCTATCATTCAATTCAGTAATGTCTTTTGAGACTGATTATGGGTTCAACTTTGAACCAGGTGCAAAAATGATTAAGAGACAAACCCTGCCCTGGGAGCCTTTGCAATCCGATGCTTGGGCTCAACAGTCTAAAAACCTTGTATCTTACTCCATTTTCATTTGTAATCATGGGTTTCTGCCTTCTATCAAGCCCTCTCTCACTGGAAGCTTTAATTCCTGCTGCTACCCTCACCTAGGGTGTTAGCAGTGTGGTGAATAGTTAAGAACACAAGCTTTATAGACTGCCTGGATTCAACTGCCATTTTCAACAAAGGCTGGATGACCTTGGGCACAGCACTTAATTTTTCCTTGCTTCAGTTTCTGCATGAGTAAAATTAATAATAGTATCTATTTCATGTAACAGTAATCAGGATTACACCATAGTAAAGAGTTTTGCATAGTGCCTGGCACAGAGCACGCAGTGAATAAATGCTATCATTCTAAGTAGCGTGCAGGAGTTAATTTTTCTGTGAACTTGACCTGCTCCCACCACCAGACTTGCTGCCTTGGAGATGGAGGCTAGAGTACCTCTTTCCTTTGCTAGTGGGCCAGACTGCATACAGGGATGGGAAAAAAGGGAACCATTCTCTACCTTGTCAGACTTTTGAGGGCAGGAATAGTATAATTGAATACCTGTGGTAATTAGAATTGACAACCCCAGATATACATTTAAAGGAACTGGTATTTCCTCAACATTTGCCTGAACTGAATGGGGAAGGGGGAAATGTAATCTTCCATATCCCCTCCCACTTTATAATCCTGATGAGAAAAGGAAAATGCTCCTCCCTTCTCTATGCCAGAGGTCAGCCAGGTACTGGACTAAGACTGAAAACCATGTTTTGTTTTTGTTTTTAAAAAAATGTATTGTATTTATTTGAGAAAGAAAGAGCAAGTGGGGGAGGAGCATACAGAGATGGACAAGCAAAAAGCAGGCTCCACGCTGAGCATGGAGCCCAACGTGAGGCTCAATCTCATGACCCCGAGATCACGACCCAAGCAGAAATCAAGAGTCAGAGGCCTAAATGACTGAGCCAGTCAAGTTAGTTTTTCAGGCACCCCCTGAAAATCTTGTTTTTATAAAAAATGGTTTAGAAAGACCGTTTTCCTCATTTCTTGACTTTATGTTGAACAAATACAATCAGTGTTAGTATAAAGCTAACCTAATATACAACACATGCCAAGGTCTCCCGCCTGGGGTCTTAGCCCTTAGTCTCATCTGTGGAGCCCAAGCAACCCGTACAGCCCTGACTCCTTAAGAATCTATAATTGAGGGGCACCTGGGTGGCTCAGTGGGTTAGGCCGCTGCCTTCGGCTCAGGTCATGATCTCGGAGTCCTGGGATCGAGTCCCGCATCGGGCTCTCTGCTCAGCAGGGAGCCTGCTTCCTCCTGTCTCTCTGCCTGCCTCTCTGCCTGCTTGTGATCTCTGTCTGTCAAATAAATAAATAAAATCTAAAAACAAAACAAAACAAAACAAAAAAAAAAACCAAGAATCTATAATTGAGGCTCTTATATATTTAACATCTAATACAGTGAATAGAAAGGCACACTATTCTTTGATGAGGATTTGGTAGCAGCAAATCCATTCAGGGTATAGACACTGGAGCCATACTGCCTGGGTTTAAACCCCAACTCCACTGTTCATTAGCTGTGTGATCTTAAACAAGTTACTTTTTTTTTTTTTAAGATTTTATTTATTTGTCAGAGAGAGAGCACAAGCAGCGGGGAGCGGCAGGCAGAGTAGGCAGAGGGAGAAGCAGGCTCCCCCCCGAGGGAGCCCGATGGGGGATCTGATCCCAGGACCCTGACACAGGTCATGACCTGAGCGGAAGGCAGCCACTTAACTGTCTGAGCCAACCAGGCATCCCTTAAACAAGTTACTTAATCCCTCTGTGTCTCAATTCCTTTACCTGTAAAATGTGCAAAATAATAAGTGCCTGCCTCACAGAATTGCTGTGAAAATTAAATGAGTTTATACATATAAAATTAGTTCATAAAAAGTCTTGCATACAGTAAGCACCTAAAAAATATTAGTTACTATTATTATTCCTGAAAACAACATGAATCAAATCACATGGCACCTATGCAAAGGGAGGACATTATAAGAAATGATATAGGCAGCAAATGGAGCCTTTTAGTCAAATACATTTTTTTTCCACAAAGTAGATAAAATAATTAAGCTCTAGTTTTTGTTTTGCAACTCCAAACATCCACTTAATTAAGATTACTGTAATGGGAACATGTGTACCAGTCTCTTCCTGGGGGGGAGGAGGTTGGTTCCACTTTTCTGGGGAAAACGATCAGGAAATGACCTACTAGGGTAGGCAGTGAGTCAGGGGATCCCTTCCTCATACTTGGAAGTGGAGGTGCTTCAAACATTTTCCTCCTCAGGCCACCAGGAGTACCTGTTTAGCAGGGATAAGTATGTGGGGGTGGGACAGAGGAGCAGAGTATTCCCCTCAGCCATCTGCTCCTAATGTGGAAACAGCTTTTCTCTCCTTTCCCCTCTGCCCTTCTGAGCTCTGAGCCCAAGGGCTCAGGGAGAACGCCAGGTAGCTTCCCTGTGGGTAGAGGCAGGATCGGGGGTGGAGGCAGCAGGCTCTAGAAGCTGCATTAAAGAATACCGCAGTGCCCTCTGCTGGGAGGCACACGTAAGGCACTCCAGAAGAGCCCTGGCCCCCGCTTACAGACATCTGTCCAGCCACAGCCCTTCTTCCCTCCAGCTCACTTAAAAAAGGTTTCCATGCTCCAGAACTCAGGAAGAGGTCACTTTGGTCTCTATTCTGTCTCAGCCAGGCTTCAGAGCTCTTTGTCCTTTTCTTTTCTTTTCTTTTTTTAAGATTTTATTTATTTATTTGACACACAGAGACAGAAACCACAAGTAGGCAGAGAGGCAGGCAGAGAGAGGGGGGAAGCAGGTTCTCCGCTGAGCAGAGAGCCTGATGTGGGACTCGATACCAGGACCCTGAGATCATGACCTGAGCCAAAGGCAGAGGCTTAACCCACTGAGCCACCCAGGCACCCATCTTTGTCTTTTTCTAGTCCTGAGCTATCACTCCCACTAGGTTAATATGGGAGATTGACAATTTTGAGTCAATTCCACTGCCACCCCAGGCCATAGGGGTGTATCTCACTATGAAGACAAAAGCCTACTTGCCTTAACAACTCTAAGAATGGAAAGCCTGGGATAGTGCTGAAGAATGCACTTTAAAAGGTTTTCTTTCTTCTTTTTTTTTTTTAAGATTTATTTGACAAAGAGAGAGAGGGTGCACAAGCAGAGGGAGTGGGAGAGGGAGAAGCAGGCTCCCTATTGAGCAAGGAGCCTGATGTGGGGCTTGATCCCAGGACCCTAGAATCATGACCTGAGCCGAAGGCAGATGCTTAACCAACTGAGCCACCCAGGTGCCCCTAAAAGGTTTTCTTTAAAAAAAAAAAAAAAAGTAAATAAAAGGTCTTCCTTAAGTCTAATGGCTCTTGTTTGCTACTTTTCTATTCTTTTATTCCCTACCTTCAGACAGCACATATCTCTACTTCCAACTATCCCAAGTCCTAAACTCATCTCTGTAAGATGGGAAATGAAGTCAAGGAAAGAGATGGGAAATGGGAAAAGTCAAAATTTTATTGAGGTTGTAGATAAGGAATCTTTTTTTTTTTTTTAAGATTTTATCTATTCATTTGACAGAGAGAGAGAGAGATTACAAGTAGGCAGAGAGGCAGGGGGAAGCAGGCTCCACGCCAAGCGGAGAGCCCAATGTGGGGCTCAATCCCCGGACCCTGAAATCGTGACCTAAGCTGAAGGTAGAGGCTTAACCCACTGAGCCACCCAGGCAACCCAAGATAAGGAATCTTTTTAAGCCCAACCCAGACCTATAACCTGCTTTAGAGATGTTAATCACTATGGTTTTCTGAACCTAGTTATCACGGAGTGCTGAGTGTGGAGCACACTTTTAGGTAACTCATACTTGGAATGGTCTAGGAAAGGAAAGCTGGAATATTGCTAAGGAAGGCAATTTAAAAGGTTTTCCTTTAGAGGTGTCTGGATGCCTCAGTTGGTTAAGTGAGCCCTACCTTGGGCTCTGCGCTGGGCAGCGAGATTCTCTCTCTCCCCCTCCCCCTCCGCTTCTTCCCCCTACCTCACCCCACCCCACCCCTGCTTAAAAAAACAAAACAAAACAAAACAAAAGTTTTCCTTACTTCCAGAACAGTGGTTCTCAAGCCTCAGCATGCATCAGAATCACCTAATAGGGAAAAATTTTTAAACCCATAATTCTGAGCCCTCAGAGGTCTTGCTTTAGTAGGTCTGCTGTGAGGCCTGAAAATTTACATTTCAAACAAATTCAGACAATGCCTATGGTCCAGGGCCCAAATCTGAGAACAAACGGTCTAGAGAAAAGTACCTTGGCCTCAGCTATATATCAAGATTGTTACACCTTTGTCTAAAGGAGATGAATTGATGATCTCTTCCTTATAAAGATTTTCTAGGAGTAGACAGGGTTCACAATTAAATTTCTCATTCTGCAGTGTTTATTTTCCCATTTAAGAAAAAGGGAGAGAAGGAAACACAGAAGGCAAGTACAGAGAAAAAAGTTGGACAACTCTGTTGCAACAGGCAGAAGCCCAGGGAAAGAGCTGGCCGGCTTGTGAGAAGACATGTCTAAATGGAAAGAGAATGCAAACACTTCCTGAAGCAACACAAATCTCCTGGTAACTCAAGGCCACACCCTTCTAGAGCCGGTTCCAGGACTCAGTCACCACCCAGCAGCTCTGCTAAAACCAACCCCCAGGCCTGGAATTTTATTAGCTTGGCAGCTTGTTGGCTTGCAAACATCTTCTAACAATCCTGGGTTTAGCCATATACAACATGGCTTCTTTCTGCTCAGCGTTTCTACTGTGTCTTTTGGTGACTCCTAGACAGCCAATCACTGACCCACTATCATGGGCTCCACATCCTTCACCAGTAAGGCAATCTGCTCCTGCAGCTGCCGCTCTCCTTCCCATGCTTTGCTCTGGCTTCGACACCTCAGCAGCTCAGCCTTATGGTCTTGATGATGCATAGGGCAGTAGCTCTGTGGTTCGCACAGCTCCTGAAAGGTAGGGGACAAAGTAAGGGATACTCTAGTCTCCAGAACTTTACTAGGTTTAATAGAGATGCTGCTGGTGGTAGCTAAAAAGGAGCAGGAGTTTGTTCTTGGAGGGCTTTGCAGGCCCTGGAAGTTGCATGCTCAAGTTCGCTCCCCCAAGACTGAGCTCTCCTGTTGTTGCCCCATGTGGCCCATCCTTTACCGTATATTCTGGAAAGAAGTCACTGTAGCCCCCCTTGAGGATATATAGTTCTGGGTAGTACAATGCAGGATACTGATTCAGAGCCCTGTCCTCTTGTCTCAGAGAGCGGCACCTTTAGAGAAAACCCAGAGGTGGGTGGGGTGGAGAGAAGCAAGGTCAGGATTCCATGTGTCATTCACTGGGGAGGGGAAGGAAGAATTGACTACGGGTAACCCAAAAGGACCTCCAGATCTCACTGTCTTTGCAAAACAAGATTCAAGCAAGTCACTCTTTCTCCTCTTCATTCCCAATCCTTTTTCCTTCACTGCTCCAAACTTTTTAAATTTTAGAAACCTTTCTTTCTACCCCCTTAACTTTAAACTACAATGGAAAGAATGCATTCATTCATTCCAATCTCTGTCTGAACTGGTCTGGGAAGTCTCCCTGGTTTTAAGTCCCAATTCAAGGTCCATTTCTAACACCCACCCTACCCCATATACACACTCACATTCGGGGACCCCTCTCTGAGGAGAATTCACAGTGGAACACGATGATTATTCTTTTCTGGGTGTTGAGAGGGACAATGGGCTTCTTCAGAAAGAAGTTATACAGTTCTTCCTGACTGTACAAGTTTAAAGCTTCCTGTAGAAAAATTTCAGTATTTCCTTAAGGGCCTGTGGATAGTTCCAATACTTAGAAATAACTGGGATACCATCTTGGAATATTTGGGCCAGGAAGTCTAAACTGTAAGCACTTTCAGGGCACAAGATCTAATTATATCTCTGTCTATCCCCAAAGTCTAGCATAGAGCTTGGCATGTAGTAGGTATTCAATAAATGTTTGTAGATCTGACTGCCCCCCCCCAATGCATAGGAATCATTGTGAAGAATGTCTATGAGAATCTGCAAGGTTCTTCTCCGTGCTTAGATTAATATTTTATTTCCAAGTAGGAGCTCTTGGCTCCAATAGAATAAAGGGAGATTGGTCTAGGAGGGAAAGGGAAAGTAAACTGCTCAAGGTTTACAGAATTAGAACAAGAATGAGGACTTGCAGCCTTGATGTGCTCCAAAAGTAGAAGCTCTGCCCTGGTTCTGGAGTTCATAGGACCTATGTCTATAGGCTCTACTCATTAAAGAGCTACCTCCAGCCCCTCTCCACTAACGTAACCTTACCCGGATGTGTCCTCCCAGGTACTCATATGGATAGCGGCAATCGATGATATAAAACTTCTCAATCAAGCTCTGGAACTTCCCTGACAGCAAGGCAGCCACCTACACAGAAATGATGATTGAACACCCTGTTCCCTATCACTCTGGGAGACAAGACTCAATCACATGGTTCCTGATTTGCACTCCCTTTAGTCACCCAGAATTTCACCGGATGCCCAATCTCCAAAGGTCACCTATATTTGAAATGGGGCAATGGTTCATCCCTACCGCTCATTCGAAAGGATAAAATACGAAATGGTCTTTTTGGAGCACCAAAGTAGCTAGTATTGCCGAGACATCAGGGAAAAACATATTCAAGGCACTCATCTAGAGGCAGGTGTGGCTGCAATCAGCCTCTCAGAAGACACCAAAGGGCTTCTGCAGTAGTACAGGTAGCAGGGAGCAATTCTGACTTTCCAGACGAAATGGGAAATGGTTCCATCGTAAAGGAAGCAAGCAAGTCTTTCAGAAAAGGATATGTAAGAAAAGGGTTGATATCCTTAAGATACTTGTAGGAGTGCAAATTGGTTCAACCTTTCTGCAGCGAACTTTGTAAATGTAAATGTATTTACACTTTGAATCAGCAACTTCTTTCCCAACATCTTTAGTAAACAGAAAAGTACACAAACACATGGCACAATATTCATCTCAGCCATTATTTTAGGTTATCAAATAATTTAAATATTAGCTCAAGTTATCAAATAATTTAAAAAGTTACAAATAACTATTCAAAAATGGGGGTTAAATTATACATGCCAATATATATATATCCATTAGAAGGATAATATAGATTTGTTTTACTGAGGTAGAAAGATGTTTACAATGTCTTGCTACCCTTCAACACTACATGTTCATTATGATCCTATTTTTATCAAATATATTCCAGAATAAAATCTGGAAGGCCATAAGGAAACTATTACTAGTGGTTATCTCTGGTGGTGAGATTATGGGTAGGGTGACCAAATAATTATTGCACAAACTAGGACACTTTTGAGAGTGAAAGAGAATACTATTAATAATTATCATAAAAAAATAATAATTATCATGCACTGAAAGATGTCAATGGGATTGTAATGCCTAAATCAGGATGTAAGTTTGCCCAAACTGAGTGATTTTATCTTTTTTCCTTCCCTCCCTTCTTTCCTTGCTTGCTTCCATAACAATTATCTATCATTTGTTTAATTAAAAACAAAAGCAAAAGAATGGGATAAATGGGAGTTCTTTAACACAGCTTCAAGTTGAATGAGAAGCCTATGTGAGTGAATACAGTGAAATACAATGGAAGTGGGGATTTTAGGGACAGAACAGACCAGATGGTAGCTTATGTAACCAGTTACCGTCTCCAGAAATCTGCTTACTGTTTCTGGGCTGACGTACTTCAGATCTTGGTGTCTCCCTGACACGGTTGGCAGCACATATACCTAGAAATACCCAAGAACTGAAATAAGAGCAAGTTTTCTAAACCTCAATTTGAGCTCAAAGACCTATATATTGTCCTTCTTTCCAAATGACCTTTAAAACTCCACATGTGGGGCACCTGGGTTGAGTTTTCAACTCTTGATTTCAGCTCAGGTCACAATGTCAGGATTCTGAGATTGAGCCCCACTATGGGCTCTGCATTGGGCTTGGAGCCTGCTTAAGATTCTCTCTCTACCTCTCCCTCTGCCACCACCCTAGCCCCTGCACGTGCGCACGTGCTCTCTCTCTCTCTCTCATTCTCAAATAAATAAATAAATAAATAAAACCCAAGATGCCTTCAAAAGAATCAGTAGTCTCCATAATGCACATATGCAGCAATTCCATTTCTATGAAGTGATTCTAAGGAATGAATTAAGGACTCACACAAAGTTTTAGATTTAGCTACCCAAAAAAAAAAAAAATTAGCTACAAATATGCCCATCTTGGTATACTTCATAAGGAAAAATTATAAAAGTAAATATCCTACAAGAAATTATGAGCAGGGGTGCCTGGCTAGCTCAGTCGGTAAAGCATGCAACTCTTGATTGTGGAGTTTTGAGTTCAAGCCCCACATGGGTGTGGAGATTAACTTAAACATTTTTTTAAAAAATGTAATTTAAAAAAATATATGAGAAACAGACTGAGGGTTATGGTGGGGGGATGGGTAAGCCTGGTAGTGGGTATTAAGGGGGCACATATTGCATGGAGCAGTGGGTGTGGTTCGTAAACAATGAATCTTGGAACATGAAAAAAAACAAAATAAACTTAAGATGTTAAAAAAATAAAAATAAAAAAATTATGGGCAGCCAAAAAAATGAAATACTGTACTATTAAAAATACAAAATGATGAAGCTGAATTGTTTATTGACATGAAAAGATGTTCCTGATACACTAAATGATGAGGAAAAAAAGCCAGTGAATCACAAAACAGTATAAACTATTTTTTGTGAAAAAACAAAAAAAATGTATTTGGGTATGCGCAAGTGTTTGTGAAAACACATAGAAAAAGTCTGGAGGAGTATGTACCAAGATGTTAGAAGCAATTTTATATATATATATATTAATTTTTAAAAACTTCTATGTATTTATTTGAGAGAGAGTAAGCCAGAAAGAGAGAGAGGGAGAGAGAAGGAGAAAAGGCAGAGGGAAAAGCAGACTCCCCGCTGAGCAGGGAGCCCCATGGGGGACACAATCCCAGGACTCTGGGATCATGATCCAAGGCCAAGGCAGATGCTCAACTGACTGAGTCAACCAGCTGCCCCCAAGCAATAATATTTTTTATAAGACTTGAGGTATATTTCATTTTCTACTTTTTCTGTAATGACCAAGTATTATTTACATAATTTTAAAAGACATTTTTAAAAGGAAAAAAGTAAAACGCCTCATGCTTCCCCACTGCTCTGGATTTTCCCAGAATGAATAAGAAATACCTTCTCACTAGAAAGGCTTAGGGTCTAAATCTACCACCAGAGCATCTTCAGTTTATCATATAGTCCTTGGTGAGGATGCATAATTATACCTAGCATCCTCTTTAAGCAAAGAAAAAAAGACTCAGACCCAAAATGCCTCAATGGAATATAAGATGAATATAACCAAACTCACCTTGGAGAAATCACCAATCAGAGAGCCCTGGTTAGAATCTTCCTCCAGCATCTGAATGACATTAATGTCACAGAGAGAAACTGTCTTCTTTAGACCTAAGCCCTGAGGATGACAAGAATCCCCCCACTGCCAATTTTCATGTTAAAGATTTAAAAACCAGGAGAGGGAAGGAGTGGAGACTTATTAAAAATATGTACACCCTTTGAAAAAAAATGCAAAAAGATTTGGCTGTAAAAATCAATATCCCAGCAGGTTTGTAATAGAGAAAGATTACTAATAAATAAGAGTCTTAGTTAAGCAAATCATATTTCACACATTATATTCCTATTATGCACTATAAAGTTATATTGTAGATTAATTTCATTATCACAAAAATAAATTCATGATATTCTTAAGAAAGTGAGAAAACTCGTACTTTGTAATACCACTTTATTATTATTATTATTTTAGATTGTATTTATTTGAGGGATAATGAGAAAGAGAGAGCACAGGGAGGGGGGCGGGTAGGGTCAGAGGGAAAAGCAGACTCTCTGCTGAGCAGGGAGCTGGATGTGGGACTTGATCCTGGAATTCCAGGATCACGACCTGGGCTGAAGGCAGTCGCTTAACTGACTCAATCATCCAGGTGTCCCATTCTGCTTTTTTTTTTTTTTTAAGATTCTATGTAATACCACTTCAATAAAAGAAAAAAAAAACTGCATCAAAGAGTCTCAAAGAATGTACACCACATGTTGACAATAATTGTCTCTGGCCTATGGGATTATGGGCATTTCACATCAGCTTCTTTTGTTTATGTATAACTTCTATACTATCATATGCTGATTTTATAAAATAGTATTCAGATTCTTTTTTAAAGGAGGGGTAGGGAATGACAACTAAATTTTTCAAAAGTTGCCTCCTACCAAACCAGTGTGCTTCATGATGCTGTTTCTGTCAGAATACAGGTAAAACAGCAGTAAATATCCTTACCATTCCAGGTTTCCCTGTGTCCTCTCAAATCTTATAAAAGAAGGTTGGGAAGAAGTATGCCAACATTATTTTCAAAAGTATAATATAACAGATATTTATTGTTAAATATTTTATATACGGGTACAATGTAAAAAAGACAAGGAAGACATAAAGAACAAAGAGATAAAAGTAGAAGTAATGAGAAAGAAGACGAGATATCCTAAAATAATCCTCATACCAAAAAAGCAGAGAATACGATGAGATAGAGGATTAAATAGATTCTCATCTTAAAAAGTTCTTACCTTCCTGAGCTCTTTTTGGTTAGAACAATACTCCTTTTTTTCTTTATCTGGTATTGGGTTGTTCTTGAATTTTACCACCCGCTTCAGTCTTGGCCTGTTCAAATGCTCTGGCAACGAAGGGGAGCGATACAAGGAGCTTCTGTTCAGAAATGCCTGTATGGGAATATCAACCCCATATGTTTTTACTCCTCTAAGTGTGTCTGCATGCCAGTAGCATGAACATCTTCTGCAAACTTGTTAGAACTGATGAATCCTAGATGTTGAGCCTCACCCCAGACCTACTGAATTAAAATCTGCATTTTAGCAAGCTACCCCAGTGATTTCTAGCTACACTCAAGTTTGATAGGCAAAACCCTAGGTAAGCAACCATTCTTTCCGTCCTCATTAACATCTTTCTTCTCAGAGTACATGATGTTCCATCTCCCCAAGATGTATTAAATCTAGCCAAACCAAATTCACCACCTGACCATCTTAAATGTACCAATTCTTGCAGAAGAAAGCAAATGCAAGCTCAGTTCCTCTAGGCAAGTGAAAATCGAACCAACCAACCTAATCCCAGTTTCACTATGGGATCCTAAGACTAACAATCAAGATTTAAGGACCCCAACAAAAATGAAGATGACAAACCAAAAAGGTCAGCCTACGTGAAAAGTACTAAGCAGCAAGAGTATGTGTCACTTTTGGGGGGTAGTAATTTCTTTGAGGGAGAGAGAAAAAAAATAACTCGGCTTTCTTATAAAGCAGGTTGTTAAAGGGAAAGAAAAATAGCAACACAAGCATCATGCAAGGGAAGAGGGAACACCAGAAGCTAGTATCAGGAGGACCATTACAGGGTTGATACTATGAAGCCCATTGGGAAAAAATGGATTAAATACCATGAGGAACTGGCCTTGGAAGTTACTAACTCAGACTAAAGTACAAGAAGATGGACTACTGTCTCCTCGAAAGCCATGATTTTAGTTTTATAACCAGAGGCAGGAAGAAGTATTAAATGATCTATGATAACAACTTTCAATTAATCTAAGATCATTTTAAAATTTTAATTTTAGTAATCTCTATATCCAACGTGGGGCTTGAGCTCATGACCCCAAGATCAAGAGTCCCATGCTCTATTGACTGAGCCAGCCAGAGACCCTTCAACTAATCTAAGATTCTTACCCTCTGTTCCCAGATACCCTCTGCCCTATATGAAAGCCAGAAGTTCCTACTTTATATACTCACCTCACTAACAACTATGGATTGATTTAGAAGGGGGCCTAGATAATAAGAGAACCATAACTAGAAAATAAGTTGATGGTCAATGGTTTCTGGGAGAATAAAATAAAAACATCAATATTATATTTTATAATAACTATATCTATTACAGTGTTTGCCACATCCGTGGTCCCATCTAAGGGAAACTCCATTGTTCCCATTATCAGCTGAAAGTACAGTTCACATTTTACGAACCAGTATTTTACACCTACCTGTCCCCTTGGATCCCTGGTAGTCAACTCCCTTTGTCCCCACAAACCTACCCAGAGCCACTGACCAGCCCATAGTGCTGTTTGTTGTTGTTGTTGTTTTTTAAAAGATTTTATTTGACAGACAGAGATCACAAGTAGGCAGAGAGGCAGGCATAGAGAGAGGGGGAAGCACGCTCCCTGCTGAGCAGAAAGCATGATGCGGGGCTCGATCCCAGGACCCTGGGATCATGACCTGAGCCTAAGGCAGAGGCTTTAACCCACTGAGCCACCCAGGAGCCCCCACCTAGACTTCTTGACAGACTTCACTTCATATAACTTCAATTCTGCCCTGAGAAGAATGCAGGAAGAAGCCAGATCAGAATTTCAAATTTAAGGGCCTTAGTGCAACCTTTGTTTCTTTTAACCAAAAAAGCCTCTCTAGAACACACCAAATTATTAAGCTAAGGGCTTATTGTATTTTATTATTTTTTAAAAGATTTATTTGTTATTTTAGTGGTGGGAGGGACAGAGGAAAAGGGAGAGAGAGAATCACAAGCATACTCCCCACTGAGTGCAGAGCCGGATGCCGGGCTCGAGATGCCGGGCTGGATCTCATTACCCTGAGATTACAACCTGAGCCAAAACCAAGAGTCAGAGACTCAACCAACTGAGCCATCTAGGCCCGAGAATCGATTCCATTTACTATAGCACCGAGAACCATAAGGGCTCATTGTTAAGAGTTTGGAATGAATTAGCTACTAAGGGAAATATTTCCTTTTTTTTGTATTATATCTAAGAAATCTTAACCTAACCCAAGATCACAGTAATTTTCTCCTATGTTTTTTTCCTTCAGATGTTTTATAGTTTGAAAATTCATATTCAGGTCTATTATCCATTTTGTACTAATTTCTACATAAGGTGTAAGGTATGCATTGAGGTTTTGTTTTTTGTTTGTTTGTTTTTTTTTTAAAGATTTTATTTATTTATTTGACAGAGATCACAAGTAGGTGGAGAGGCAGGCAGAGAGAGAGGAGGAAGCAGGCTCCCCGCTGAGCAGAGAGCCCGATGTGGGGCTCGATCCCAGGACTCTGGGATCATGACCTGAGCCGAAGGCAGAGGCTTTAACCCACTGAGCCACCCAGGCGCCCCGAGGTTTTGTTTTTCATCTAGATTTTCAATTGCTCCAGCTCAATTTGTTGAAAAGACAATTTTCTCCATTTAATTTCTTTGTATCTTGGTCTAATTATCAATTGACAACATATGTATGAGTCTATTTCTCAAATCTCTATTCTCTTGCACCAACACTTTAGTTTTCTGGTAGCTATTATTATCATGGTGATAATAAAGCTGATAAACATCTTCTTGAGTTTCATACGGTCTAAAGGCAAGAATCCCGAAATAAATGATAGGAGAAAACTACTTTAACAGACAGAAAGAGTCACTACTGTTCTGACAGATTCTTCCCAAAACATTTATATAAAAACAAATGGAAACTTACTGCGAAGAGCATACGTGTTTGGTCATGAAGGGATGATAATAGTGAGGGTACTGTAGCTATGTCTAGTCACAAGTTTCCCAGTTCTCAGAAGCAGGGTTGGGGGGAACCCAGGACCAGCTGGCTTAGATTGCATTCAACATCTAACTTTCCTTTTCCTCCAACATCTTAGAGAGTTTCTTTCTTTAAGGAATCAATGAACACTTTCAATATCTGGGAGTTTTAAGCACTGAAATGACCAGGTAGAAGAAAAGGAAACTTGCTAAGCTTGATTCTACCTACAGATTTTTATAAAAAGGTGTAAATGAATAATCACTGTTTTGTAAACTGAGGAGGCATCACCATTTCCTCATGGCCTACACACTGTTCAATATACACAGACTTGCTTCTGTTTGTACTACTCACTGTTCTTGTCAAGATTCTCAACAATCATCATGTCACTGTATCTGACACTCATTTCTTTAGACATCTATCTTTCTGAACTTCATAGTGGCTTCCACTGAGTTGGCTATGGCCATCTTCCTTGGCTTCAATGTCACCTCCTAGTTTAGTTTAATGCTAGTATAGGCAATCCCTAAACTAAAAGAACCATGATGTTTCTACCTCTCTATTGCTCCTTTTCAGTCTTCTTTGTTAGGCCTCCTCACCTACCAAACCTTTAACAGATGTTGGATTCATCAGGGCTAGGTCCTGGTCCTTTTTTATTCCTCACTTTTGCCTTACATGATTTTTTCTACCTGTGAGTTCAAATTTTCCCTCTATACAGATGACTCTCAAATATCTGTTTCCAATCAAAACTTCTGCTCTCACTTCCAGATTTCCATAGCCACGTACTTGCTTGATAATTTCTGAGTACCTACTAGATGACAGAGCAGTGAATAAGGGAGTGGAAAAAATAAATAAATGTACTATGTGTTTTTAGGTAGCAGCATGTTCTACAGGTAAAAAAATAAAGGAGAATCAAAAGACAGGAAACAAATTTGGGTTGGAAAACTTGTCAGGAAAGGCCTTTCCGGTAAGATGACATAGGTGGAGAAATGAAACTAAATTTTGCCCAGGGGAAAATTTGTTCCAGGCTGAAGGAATAACAAATGCAAAGGCACTGGTGAGACTAGCAAGGCCAGTAATGGTCACATTTGGTATGGTACCATTTTTAGAAACCTCAAAAACTAACTGAAGCAATACCATAAACCAACTAGACCTAACAGACATCAACAGAACACTGTACCCAACAACAGAATGTATATTCTTCTCAAATATACATGAAATGTTCTCTAAGAAAGACCATATGCACTAAGTCATAAACTAGCCTCAATAAATTTTGAAGGACTGGAATCATACAAAGTAAGTTCTCTAACCATAATGGATTCATCAGAAATTAATAACAGAAAAAAATGTGGAAAATTTGGTTAAGTGGAAATTAAACAACACACTCCTAAATACTCATTGGGTCAACAAAGATCTCAAGGGAAATTAGAAAATACTTTTGGATGAATAAAAATGAAGATATATGACATACCAAAATTCATGTTAGGATAAAGCTATAGTAGTGTTTAAGTGAAAATTTATAACTGCAAAGGCCCATTATAGAAAAAAGAATGATCTCAAGACAATGACCTAACCTTCCATCAAAAAAGAAACTAAATCCAAAGCAAGCAGAATCAAGGAAATAAAGATTAAAGCAAAATCTTAATGAAGTAAAGGACAGAAAAAAGAGAAAACAACAGAACCAAAAGTTGATTCTTTGAAAAGATCAATAAAATTGATAAATTTTAGCTAGACTAACCATGAAAAAGAGAAGACTCAAATTATTGAAATTAGGAAAGAAAGAAGGAACATTATTAGCAATTTTTCAGAAATAAAAAGGATCGTGGGGGATACTATGAACAACTATATATCAATGAATAAGAAAACTCAGATTAAATGGGCAAATTCTTAAAATGACAAAAACCACTGAAACTGACTCGAGAAGGAACAGAAAACCTGACCAGACCTACAAAAAGTAGAGATTGAATTAGTAATTTAAAAACTTCCCACAAAGAAAAGCCTAGGTCCCAATGGCTTTACTGGTGAAATTGGCCTAACATTTTAAAAAGAACAAAAAACAGGGGTGCCTGGGTGGCTTGGTTGTTAAGCATCTGCCTTCAGCTCAGTTCATGATCCTAGGGATCAAGCCCCACATCAGTTTTCCCACCCACAGGAAGCCTGCATTT